TATATATATATATATATATATGTATGTATGTATATATATATATAATTGTTTCTTTCTTTAGAAAAGAACTGTTTGAATGTTTTTTTATGAGTTGTATCCTGTCAGTATATCTTGAAAATGTCAAAAGTTAAAATTTCACTTTCTACCATGTTTGAGAGAAAAAAAAGCTTTATTTAGAATTCTAATTGCTCAGGCTACTTTTAAGCCACTGACTGGCAAATATTTTTTGGTAGTAGAATCTCTCTTTCAAATGAAACCTTATAAAAATCTCAATACTTAAGGCAAATTGAAGTTTAAGCCTATAACATATATTTATTATAACAATCAATGTAGAAGAACAACTCTGTTTTTAAAAACACCCAGATTATTTCTATGTTTGGTTTTTGTTGTTGTTCAGTATAAGAAAATCCTCATTCACAGATCAGTAGCTGAAAATGATAACAGTTATTTTAGCTAATAGAGCAATTTAATTGGAATCTCTGGAAACTTCAGTTAAACTGTATTGTAGATTAAAAGTAGTAGAATTTTTTTTCTGTTAAATCTCAGTATCCACCAGCCCGTTGCATTCTTGATCCTAATTTTAAAAGTCAGAAAAGACTAAGTCTTATTTTGAAGCATATAGTACAATACAATTGGGCACAATTTCATAATTTGACATAATGTTTATACTGTAATAGATACTGTCATTGGAAAGAAAGATGAGTTGTGAATCTTTCATGGCCTTTAATTGAGCCAAGTGACATTTTTGAAAATTATTAAAACTTAAATTTCAAATGCACTGTTTTTGGGACCTCCTCAAGTCCTCCACAGAATTCTGTTCTTAGAAAACAATTTGAGGGGCGCCTGGGTGGCGCAGTCGGTTAAGCGTCCGACTTCAGCCAGGTCACGATCTCGCGGTCCGTGAGTTCGAGCCCCGCGTCAGGCTCTGGGCTGATGGCTCAGAGCCTGGAGCCTGTTTCCGATTCTGTGTCTCCCTGTCTCTCTGCCCCTCCCCCGTTCATGCTCTGTCTCTCTCTGTCCCAAAAATAAATAAACGTTGAAAAAAAAAAATTTAAAAAAAAAAAAAAAAAAAAAGAAAACAATTTGAAAGCCATTGCTTGAGATCATGTTTCTTCAGAAAGTATTATTGGTACATTTTAGCCCTTAACATTAACTGAGTGTAAACATTGTTTGGACACTTAAGATCTAAAAATGCTATTTTCCTCAGTTCGTTAAGTGTCCACCTCTTGATTTCAGCTCAGGTCAATATCTTGGTGGCTTGTGACATGGAGCTCCACATCAGTTTCTGCACAGACAGCCCAGAGCCTGCTTGGGATTCTCTCTTTCCCTGTCTCTCTGCCCCTCCCCTGCTTGCACTCACTCATGCAATCTCTCTCTCTCTCTCAAAATAAATGTTTAAAACTATTTTTTAAATAAAAATGCTATTTTCTAAAAGAATACAAATAGAGATAGAATTTATTTTTCCCCTTAAACACTTAAACCATTGTAAGGCACTATTCAAAGTATATTAAATTTGATCACCAATAATCCTTTGAGACAGGGTTTAGAGATGTTTTGGATGATGAAATTCAGGCAGGTGGAGGTTAAATAACTTGTCCACAGTCAGAGCTAGTAAGTGTTAGAACCAAGCTTCAAATCCAGAGTCTGGCTCCAGAGTCCATCTCTTAATCCCTATACTACACCACTTTTCATAGTCAAGACCCATGAGTTCACTGTGAAGAGGGGGTGGTGCCTTGAATTCTGTTGTTGTGTTTCTGTGTGTGTGTACATGGCTTTTTAAATTTTTTTTAACATTTATTATTGAGAGACAGAGAGAGACAGAGCATGAGCGTGGGAGGGGCAGAGAGAGGGGCAGACACCAAATCAGAAGCAGGCTCCAGGCTCTAAGCTGTCAGCACAGAGCCTGATGTGGGACTCAAAGTCACAAACCGCGAGATCATTACCTGAGCCGAAGTTGGACACTTAAAGGACTGAGCCACCCAGGTGCCCCTGTACATGGTTTTTTTAATTATGAATAGTTTCTAATTGTTGGTGTCCTCTAATATTCTGTGATCCCATATTCAGACAAATATGCTACAAGTATTAGTTAAAAATAAGAATAGTTTAACATTAAGAATGATAACACAAGAAAGTAGTTTTTAAGAGATAAATTTTTTAACAAAGTTTCAAATAAATTTCACTTTCCATACTATTCATATAAAGTTTAGATAGAATAAGATATCGCTACAGCCACATGTTGCTATTTAAGATATGATCATCTTCTCAGTTAAGAACCAGTTTGAATCAATGATCATTGGGGAAATACAAATAAAAACTACAATGAGGTATCATCTCAAGCCTGTCAGAATGGCTAAAATTAATAACACAGGAAACAACAGATGTTGGCAAAGATGCAGAGAAAAGAGAACCCTCTTTCACTGTTGGTGGGAATGCAAACTGGTGCAGCCAATCTGGAAAACAGTATGGAGGTTCCTCAGAAAGTTAAAAACAGAACTACCCTATGATCCAACAATTGTACTACTAGATATTTACCCAAAGGATACAGGAATACTGATTCTAAGGGGTACATGCACCCCAATGTTTCTAGCAGCATTATCAACAGTAGCCAAATTATGGAAAGAGCCCAGATGTCCATCAACTGCTGAATGGGTAAAGAAGATGTGCACGTGCACACACACACACACACACGCACACACACACACACACACACACACACACACACACGAATATTACTCAGCCTTCAAAAAGAACAAAATCTTGTCATTTGCAATGACATGCATGGAGCTGGAGAGTATTATGCTAAGCGAAATAAATCAGAGAAAGACAAATCAGTCAGATTTCACTGGTGTGGAATTTAAGAAACAAAATAGACGAACATAGTGGGGAGAAAAAGAGGCAAACCTTGAAACAGCTTCTTAACTGTAGAGAACAAACTGAGGATTGCTGAGCAGGAGGGTAGAGGGGTTAAATGGCTGATGGGTACTAAGGAGGGCATTTGCTGTGACGAGCACTGGATGTTGTATGTAAGTGATGAAACACTAAATTCTATACCTGAAACTAATATTACACTATATGTTAACTGACTAGAATTTAACGAAAAATTTGAAGATAAAAAAAAAAAGAACCAGTTTAAGTGGCATGGTGTACTTTACATTATGAATTAAAATTTAACAAATGTCTTGGGGTGCCTGTGTGGCTCAGTCGGTTAAGCATTGACTCTTGGTTTTGGCTCGGGTCATGATCTCACGGTTCATGAGTTCAAACCCCACATTGAGGTCTGGGCTGACAGTGTGGAGCCTGCTTGATATTCTCTCTTTCTGCCCCTCCCACACATGCTCTCTCTCTCAAAATAAATAAATAAACAGTAAGAAAAAGTCTTTAAATACACACACACACACACACACACACACACACACACACATATACACCTCAGTATAATAACTTAGAGTTTTAATTGGCAGACATTTGGTATAGTTCAAATATTATTTCTTGAGGTAAGAAAAATAGTTAAATATTAACTGAGGCATCTGTAAATTCAAAATGTGAGGACTTTTATATAAGCAATGAACTGATTTTTTTTACTCTTTTGAAAAAAAGATTAGGAAAATATCTATAAAGAGCTTCCCAAGTGAATAGTAAGTACAAGAAGATTTTGTGCTTAATAAAAATATTCAAATGCTCAAATATTTAAAATATTATATATATATTTTAAGTTCAGAGTAAAAGACTTTTAAATTAATGAAATATATTGACTGATAATTAAAATTTATCTACTAGGCAGCACTTAGGACATTAACATACCATATTCATTTTCAATAACTTACAGTATTCTCTGCAGTAATTTGAATTAATGAAGGATACTGTTCACATGTAATAAATATTAATTTATATACCACTGTTTCAAGCAATCCTTTTATCCTCCTATTTCACTATTACAAGAGCATCCCAGGCGACTGCTCACCATACAACTGCTCGTTATTATAACTGCCCTGGTTCTGCTGCTGACCCTGTATTAGCCTCTTAATCTTCATGAGCCTGTTTCTTCACCCATGAAACAGGAATATAAATGGTTTCTCATAGCATCATTGATATGATTAAATTAATACAGGTAAAATGTCTAGCCTGTGGGTAGGTGCAGAGAAGGTTCGTTTCGTTTCGTTTCGTTCGTTTCGTTTAAGAAATAAGTCATGGTGTATTTATACACCACATTTCATTTATTCTAAGACACATCTTGTACCTCTAAATTGTAATGCATTGTAAAATCCATGGTGACCTGCCAAACAGATGGCAGCTGTGAAATAGTGGTCATTTTCATGTCACTTTCTCTTTTTTTAATGTTTATTCATTTTGAGAGAGAGAAAGAGAGTGCACATGCAAGCAGAGGAGGGGCAGAGAGAGAGAGAATCCCAAGCAGGCTCCATGCTATCAGTTCAGAGCCTGACATGGGGCTCGAACCCATGAATCTTGAGATCACAACCTGAGCCAGAACCAAGAGTCAGATGCTTAACCAACTGAGCCACCCAGGCACCCCTCTTCTATTTTATGCAGGATGATATCTATATATATAGATATGTATCTATCTATCTACGTATCTATATACATGATGTATGTATGTATATATAGTGTATGTGTGTGTGTGTATATATATATATACACACACATGTTATACACATATGTCATATAATGGTAGCATATCTTCTTTCTTGATGGCACATAAATTGACAGTTTGTCTTATAATCTGTAGCATCTTAAATTCAATGAAATGCCATAAGAATAACCTCTGTGTCTTAATCATAATGATGGCACTGTTTTTTACAGACTTTATGCAGTTGGTGGTCGTGATGGAAGTTCTTGCCTCAAATCAGTAGAATGTTTTGATCCTCATACTAATAAATGGACACTCTGTGCGCAAATGTCCAAAAGGAGAGGGGGAGTCGGAGTAACTACCTGGAATGGATTGCTGTATGCTATTGGAGGACACGATGCTCCTGCATCCAACTTGACATCCAGACTCTCAGACTGTGTGGAAAGGTAATTTCCTGTGAAGGAAAAGTTTGTCTGACACTTGCAGACAAATTAATGACTCTTTAGTGAACATCTACCATATGCGAAGCAGTTCCTTCAGAGCTTTGTAAACGTTGAGTTGCCTGTCTGTCAGTCTGTCTCCTAATGCCTACTCAGATTCTTCTCTCATCGTATTACTGCCTACTGAAAATGTACCTTAGATGGGAATGCAAACTGGTGCAGCCTCTCTGGAAAACGGTGTGGAGGTTCCTCAAAAAATTAAAAATAGATCTACCCTATGACCCAGCAATAGCACTGCTAGGAATTTACCCAAGAGATACAGGAGTGCTGATGCATAGGGGCACTTGTACCCCAATGTTTATAGCAGCACTTTCAACAATAGCCAAATTATGGAAAGAGCCTAAATGTCCATCAACTGACGAATGGATAAAGAAATTGTTGTTTATATATACAATGAAATACTACTTGGCAATGAGAAAGAATGAAATATGGCCTTTTGTAGCAATGTGGATGGAACTGGAGAGTGTTATGCTAAATGAAATAAGTCATACAGAGAAAGACAGATACCATATGTTTTCACTCTTATGTGGATCTGGAGAAACTTAACAGAAGACCATGGGGGAGGGGAAGGGGGAAAAAAAAGTTAGAGAGGGAGGGAGGCAAACCATAAGAGACTCTTAAAAACTAAGAATAAACTGAGGGTTGATGGGGGGGTGGGAGGGAAGGGAGGGTGGGTGATGGGCATTGAGGAGGGCACCTGTTGGGATGAGCACTGGGTGTTGTATGGAAAGCAATTTGACAATAAATTTCATATTAAAAAAAAAAAGAAAACGTACCTTAGAATTGATTATACAATTTATTAATTGAGTCAAATGACAAACATTTCTTATGTACATATTTTGTACTGGACACTGTACCTGACAAGAAAAGAAAAGGAGGTTGATGAATTTCAGAGAGAAGGAATAGGGGCTGGAGGCTAAATAAGAAGTAAAAAGGAGGGGAACATTACTAACACATTTTCATATAAAATGAAATAACATGAAATAATAACAGACTAAAAGGCTATAAACAAGTCATCCAAACTGGCCTCATGAAACTCAAGTATGGGCCAGGTAAAGAGCCTAACATCAATGGATGATTTGGACAATAGTTCAGGCTCCCATCTGTTACTATTAGTCTAATTTAAGGAATGGAGAGAATTGAACAGATTTAGGAGGTAGAATCAAAGGGAACATTACAAACACTCCTAAGCAGAAAGGAATATGATTCATTCGGAAAGCTGAAAGGCAGACACTATGACTGGAGAACAAAGAATGAGGGAGACAGTGTCAGGAAAGGAGGCGGACTAGGGTGGAGGTAGGGGCAAATCACGTTGAGTCTTTAAGGCCTTATCAAAGAGTCTAGATTTTAATGAGCAACTGGAAGTTAGTGTGTGTGTGTGTGTGTGTATTATTTATACATGATTGGAAGAAGGATAAAAAGTGAAATGCAGGTTTGATGGCAATGAGTGCTTTCTGTGAAATAATACGGAAGGTTGGTTTGTTGTCTTTTGAGAAAGCAGGAGAGTTACACCTGCATTTCCCCTGTATTAGGGAAAGTAATCCAGACTATGCTTGTTGCATGTTACATTTCAGGAAAGGAATATGGAAGCCTTTGTATACTTTATACATTACAAGCTCACTGCAGTACCGCACCTGATGAAAAATTTTTCATTGATGCAAGAGGTATTACAAGCAGTATAGGTCATTGTAGCATGATGTATCTGCTCTTAGACAACTTTGGGCCGTTCTAGGTAATGTATTTCATGAAAGGAACAAGACGTTTCAAAAATGGACAGCTATAATGATTGAGTGTATAAGCCATCTTACACAGAGCTTCATGTATTGATTTCCTCAGATTTTCAGTGGACAATCAAAACACATAAAGCAGTTTCAGTATTTACTTTAGCTCTTTTGGATAGTTTAAGTGTCATGGATTTACTAAATGAAGCTATAATACTGTAAGTTAAAAGTTTTCAGGGAAATACTGATTTTTTCTAAAAATATGTCCAAATGTACTTTAGATAGCAGTAATAAGACAAGGGGTAGGCTTAAAGAACTAAACTATTTTTATTTTTTTAATGAAAAAACTTTTAATGTTACACATGGAAAAAAAAGTAAATTGAATTAAAAACATGTTCTGAAATAGACATCTGGGTCCTCAGAATAAAAAGTGAAATATTTAGATCAAATACTAACTAAATTGTTAAGAGTCGTTACCACTTGACTCTGTAATTAAAGTTGGAATGAAAAAAGGCTAGCTATTGCTTTTTTACATATTTTCGTATTCTTTGAATTTTTGTTACAAGATTGTATTCCTTGCTAATAGGAAACAAGTGTAATAAATGAACCCATCTTTAAGATGACATTTATCAAATGCTTACTATGCATTCTTTCGTTTAATTTTCAATGCTATGTGGTGAGCAATATTTACCAGTAAAGAAACTATGATTTAAAGATTTTAAGTAAGTTTACAATACCACAGAGCTAATAATTGGAAGGATGAAGACTTAAGATTGTTCAGCCCAAGTCCAAAGCGTGTTCTCTAACCACTTTGCTATACTGCCTCTCCCAGGTGTTTCTGGATATGTAGGTATTCTCTTATGGAGGTGTAATTGTCATATTAGTCTCAGGTGTATAACAATGATTTGACATTTGTATATATTGAGAAATGATCACAATAAGCCTAGTTAACATCCATCACCATATATAGTTACAAATTTTTTTCTTGTGATGAGAACTTTTTACCCTTAGCAACTTTCAAATAGAAAGCACAGTATTATTAACTGTATCACCATGCTGTGCATTATATCCCCATGATTCATGTATTTTATAACTATAGAAATTTGTACCTTTTGATCCCCCTCCCTCATTTCACCCATTCCTCCCCCCCCCCACCTCATGCCCTACTTCTGGCACCCTATGAGTGCGAGGTTTTTTGTTTTGTTTTGTTTTAGGGTCCACATGTTAAGTGAGATAATAGGTATTTGTTTTCTCTGACTTATTTCACTTAGTATAATGCCCTCAAGGTTCATCCATGTGTTTGAAATAGTAAGATTTCATTCTTTTTTAGGGCCAAATAATATTACACTGTGTGTGTGTGTGTGTGTGTGTGTGTGTGTGTGTGTGTGTGTGTGTTCTAGATGTATTACATCTTTATCCATTCATCCATTGATGAACACTTAGGTTGTTTCCATGTCTTGGCTACTGTAAATAATGCTGCAGTGAACATGAGGGTGCATATATCTTTTCAAATTAGTGCTTTCCTTTTCTTTGGATAAAAACTTAGAAGTAGAATTACTGGATCATACGGTATTTCTATTTTAAATTTTTTGAGGACTCTCCATATTGTTTTCTATAGCAATTGCACTAACTTACATTCCCACCAACAGTACACAAGTGTTTTTCCCTTTCCTCCACATCCTCACATACACTGTTATTATCTTTTTTGCTAACAGCCATTGTAGTTTTGATTTACATTTTCCTGATGATTAGTGATGTTAAGCACCTTTCCATGTACCTATTGGCGATGTAGATGTCTTCTTTGGAAAAATGCCTATTCAGACCCTCTGCTCATTTTTAATTGGTTTATTTGGGTTTTTTGGTTATTGAGTTGTATGATTCTTTATATCTTCTAGATATTAACTTCTTATCAGATACATAATTTGGAAGCATTTTTTCCCATTCTATAGGTTGCCTTTTCATTTTGTTGATGGTTTCCTTTGCCATGCAGAAGGTTCTTAGTTTGATATGGTCATTTGTGTTTATTTTTACTTTTGTTGCCTTTGCTTTTTGGTGTCAAATCCAGAAAATCATTGCCAAGACCAATGTCAAGGATCTTCCCCCCATGTTTTCTTCTAGGAGTTTTATGGTATCAGGTCTTATATGCAAGGCTTTCATCCATAAACAATTTTTACATAAAAATGTGGTGAGGGCAATGTCAGCTCCAGTTCTAAAATTTTCTTTCAGATATGATCCCAAAACAGATATGTGGACTGCAGTGGCATCTATGAGCATCAGCAGAGATGCAGTAGGGGTCTGTTTACTTGGTGATAAATTATATGCTGTTGGAGGGTATGATGGACAGACTTACCTTAATACAGTGGAGGCTTATGATCCCCAGACAAATGAGTGGACCCAGGTATGGCATTTCATTTTTCATTATTACACTTCTCTGTTTTTATTAAAACAATTTGTTTGGTAAAACTGATTCTTTAAATTTTATCCAATATCAAAATATATAGCATAAGCATGATAAGGTCATCTCTGAATTAAATATATGAAAACAAGAAGGACTGTTTAATTTTATAACATAATTAAAATCCAAAATTATCTTTGAAGTAGAAGTTAATACTCAAGGAAATTATTAATAGTTTTGATCTGCCACCATTTGCTTGCTGGGAATTGATGAGATATTCTAGTATTGGTAAAGCAGATAGGACTACAGGAGAGCTATGGGAAAAAGAGAGGGAGATGGTGGAAAATAAGAAAAAAGATAGAAATCAGAAAAATTTGAACCAGTTATCCATACATGAGCAATAATTTTTAAATACTCAAGCTATTGATATCTGGAAGCAGATAAAATGTCTGGTCATCACCTAATAAAGATAGCAATCTTAAATTATATTAACAAGTCTTGACCTGGCAAGTTTATTAGCAGAATTCCAACCATGTCTATTTCTGGAGGGCTTCATACTTCTAAGAATGATCTTCTGAGATCCTTGTTTCCATCATTACCAAGAACAGAATTAGAAATTTTGTGACCCAATTTAGTACCTGGTACTGAAAGATGCTCAAATGTTTAATTGAGCCAAGGTTTTCCTACATACAAGGAGCAGTAGTAAGTACTGTCAAGAAAACAAAATTTAAAAGCATCACCACTGTCATACAACTTAGCTACTTAAATAGGTATGATCTGCATGTGTAAGGGGAGAACCCACAATGTAGAACAGTTGGTAGGGAAGTGTCCCATGGTATAGGTATTGTGTGGTATATGAAGTCAAAGAAAAAAATAAAATGGTTGTTGAGAGGGCTTTAGTGAGGAGAAGCTGGATTTAAGTTAAGCCTTAAATGAATTGATCCAATTCAAAAAGGTAGAAAGAAATGGGAAGCTGTGTGAAAAAACACAAAAGAAATGTCACTGAAGCAGAAATATGCAAGATAATTGAGGAAGGGTGGCTGGTTATATGGATCCATGCTTAGCAAGAGTAAGAGTTCCTATTAGAGAGCAAGGTTGGGGTCAGGATGGAGGTCTGTGAAGGCCATGGGTAAAGAGTTTGGTAGTGGGAAGCCAGTGGAGACTTTTAACCAGGAGAGTGATACAGAAATAGGAAGTTCATGTGGCAGTTGGGGACAGGAGCAGGGGAAGCGAAGGCTGGATAAAAATGAAACATCTAGAAGATTGCTTCACTTGTAAGGCTTGAGCTGTCAACTCTATAGATGGATTCAAGAGATATTACCAAGTCCTATCTATTCTTTCTTTTTACACTTACTGGGTTGGATTGAAGGTGAAGAAAACAGCAAATGAATGACCAGACAATGTCTTAGATAAGATAATGGAATAGAGCAATTTTTTTAAATTAAATGTTTATTTATTTATTTTGAGACAGATTACACACAATGTAAAAAGTAAAGAGAAAAATAAACTCAGGAGCTAGAGGGGCATACAATTTTCAAATAATGATGATGATAGAAAGTTAACATTTATTAAACACATTTTATGTACCAGGCTCTATTGGATGAGGAATCTGAGACACAGAGAGGTTAAATAGTTGACCCAAGTCACACAGCAAATAAATGGAGTTAGAATTTGAGCTGCAGGTCTTTTTCAAAATAGAGGTGAAAACAAGAGTAGAGATTCCAGATGCTAGAAGGAGAGAGTAACATTGAAGGGCACTTTACTGAAAGAAGGGCAGGAAGCAGAATTGAGAAAAAAGAGTTTTTAAATGAAAAAGACAGAAAAAGGGACTGAGCTTGTGACCTTGATCTTGTTTCTTAAATTTAAGTAGGATTATTTGGTAGAGGGAAGAAGAGATAATTTGAGGGCTTGAGTCAGAGCTACAGAAATTCATTAGAAATGAAATCAGTCTCCCACCATGGCAATATGAATGATAACGAAGGAGCCCAAAATGAGATGTAAAAATCTCTTTTTCTAAGATATATTTGATTTATGCTGTTAGACTAGTTATAAGGAAATCTATTGGCCAGTGTTTAAGACTTGTTATTGGGATGCCTGGGTGGCTCAGTCAGTTGAGCATCCACCTTCAGCTTAGGTCATGATCTCACTTGTGTATTCAAGCCCCGCGTCAGGCTCTGTGCTGACAGTTCAGGGCCTGGAGCCTGCCTCAGATTCTGTGTCTCCCTTTCTTTTTGCCCCTCCCCTGCTTGTGCGCTTTCTCTCTCTCTCTCTCTCTCTCTCAAAAATAAACATTAAAAAATATTTTTAAAAGATTTGTTATTACAGGTAATTAATACTTTATGCTGAATTACTCTCTTATCAAAATTAACAATCTGTGACTACATAGCTATTTTGTTTGCATGCCACCTCTATTACTATTTTAAAGCACCTAAATTTGAACTTATAGCCATAGAATCTGAAAAACAAATGTTTTCCATTTAGTGTTCCAACAAATGGACAAGAGGACATTTGGTCAGGGAATGAAATGAGATTATAAAGTCTGAAGTCATCACCCACCCTACAACCCACCTTGACCCAAAGCAGGAGGTGACTGCACTGTATTGAAGAAATACTCTAAGCTGACCTTTCTCCCTGGTTGTTATGGCAACATCAACTCTTTACAGTGTAAAGACTTCAGTTCATGGGTGTTTTGAGAAAAGCTCCTAATTACAAACAGACACTTGTGATTGAAATGACCTAGAGGTTACTCCTAGAATACTGTGAATAGATTTGGCTTTAAAGCAGGTGATTTGATTGTTCAGGGAGATAGAACAGTGATCAAAACAATAGATTCAAATTGAGAACAACTGAGAATTCTCTTACAGTGTGTTCTTAAAATCCAGTCATTCAACTGGAAAGGTTGGGAAAGAGGCCAAACTGATTAGAAAGCCATTTTGATTTCGTGTATTTGACAAAAACGTTTCATTAACGTATGCCTACATACATAAGTACAAAACACATTTTCTTAGTACTTTGTATTAGTCACTCCTTCCCTAAATACTGTTGTTTTAATTCTTAGGTCTTAATGTGCTCAAAGTAGCCCTTCTTTAAAAACTATCCTTGGGGTGCCTGGGTGGCTCAGTCAGTTAAGCGTCCAACTTCAGCTCGGGTTATGATCTCACAGTTCATGGGTTCGAGCCCCACCAGGCTCTGTGCTGGCAGCTCGGAGCCTGGAGCCTGGAGCCTGCTTGGGATTCTGTGTGTGTCTCTCTCTGCCCCTCCCCCGCTTGTGCTCTGTCTCTGTCTCTCAAAAATAAATAAAATGTTTTAAAAAATTTAAAAACTATCCTTGTCTACACTTTTATTTTCACTATGAATTGCCCAGTGTCTAGGCTACTTAAAAAAATAATAATAAAAGAGTAAGTGAAAGATTTAAGAATTATTCCTTATCTATAAACTGAGATCGTATCTCTTTCCCTGGCACCCTGCACTTCCGTCTCATTGTCATAGAGTTTATTCACCAGATTTGTTTCAATTCCTCAGGAGCTGGAGGAGTACTATTTATTATTTATATACTCTGCTAAAAATTAGTCGAATGGGTTTAGACCTTTCCACCATGCACAGAGAAGGCAGTCAGTAAATGTGAAATTACTGGTTCCCCTGGAATAAGCAGACCCCAGGCATGCAGTGTGTTTGGTGTGCTCTGAGACAGCACATCTGGTAAAGGGCTTTTCGAGATAATACTTGATATTTTGTCCACATTGGCCACAGAGTTAAAGTTCAGCATTTCCTCATTATCCATATCGTGCATCATTTTGGCCAAAACAAAGGGTCAGGTAGAAAAATCTTGAGCAGTTTTTTTTAGAAATACCTTTAAAGAGAAGCGAATACTGCATAATAATGCAATACATCCTAAACGACTTAATCTGTGAAACTCTGGCAGCAGGAGGGATTCCGGGGGAAGGAACCAGGCCCACAGCAAGGCTGGGGCGGCAGGGTTTGGCAGAGCTCCTTGACAAAAATAGACTATTTCAGTACTTTTCAAACTGGGTATGGTTTTCTCAACTTTTGTACCTGCCAATCCAACAAAGACATTTTTTTGTTTCTTTTTTAGGTTGCTCCACTGTGTCTAGGAAGAGCTGGGGCTTGCGTCGTAACTGTCAAATTATAATGTAGTGCTTTGTTTTCTAAGTGAAGAAGATATCCTCTTCCTTATGAATTTAGGAAAATTATCCTACCACCACTGGACACATTTTTTAGCAAATTCACAATGCCACATACCTGGGCACAAAGTGCCCAATCTCAACGTGAAGATGATAAAACAAGGGAGGAAGGAGTGGATGAACCAGGATTAAATCCTGCATTTCTTAGTAAGTCATTTCTTAGCAAATCATAACTACAGCTGGCGGGTGGTGAACATATGTTCCTGGTTTAACATATGCAAACAAATGCACTCCTCCTAAATACAACACAACTGGGAATTTCATTTATTAATAACCACACTTTACTCCATTATCCAGATTTCCTTTATTATAGTGCACATACACCAGATAAAACTTTTAACATTTGCTTTGTAACTTTATTCTACATTAGTTGCACTAATTTGTATTTGTTTAACCACAACCACTATTTTAATGACACACTAAAGACGATGCTAATACTTAGTTTTTTTCAGAAATAGCTGTATTATATAAGCTTTGATTATGTATTTTATTTCTAAATCGGTTTAGTCTAATGAGTGAAGAAAAACGTGAGAGCATTAAAACAATAATGAGCGGATGAAAACAAAATGATCTTTGGGTTCTTTTAAAATATTCAACCTATTATATTTAGATTCACTAAGAACCACGTGTTATGATATTCTCAAATTGGAATAATTGACACATGGTGTTTTGTATTAAATTTAAGATATGCAAATTTATGTAGAGAAAATAAATGTTATATTCACTACAATGTTCTTTCACCTGAGTAGTATTTAATTCTATGGATTTGTTTTCTTTTGTGTTATAAAAGATGTTTTGATTTTGTCTTTTGATATGGACAGGTACTGTTTGGATATTATGTTCTCAAGTCTGTAGTTACCATCCTTGCTTTTGTTTCTCACATTTTGCCACAGGTGGTAACCCTTTGTGCTTCTTTGTAATCAAACCGTTTGAGGGGAATGAGCTTATCGGATGTCGAAAAATAAGTTTGAACTCTTTATTACCCAAAGTTTTGTACATTTGTAAACTCCAATTACACATGTGAATGTTAATACTCTCAGTGAATTGTTTACTGTTTGCAAAAATGCACTGGGCAGTAACATTTTATGATAAACCCTTTAAGATATACAAGTCATTAACTTATGTCTTAATATAAAAATGAGTATCAACTAAATTCCCATCTTTTAAAATACAATGCTGTGATTAATGTGTTTTTACATTTTATATCAAGGTAGATTGATTTTAGTTGCCTTCTTTAAAAATTAAACCAAACTCTTTTTTTTTTCTCTTTTTTTTTTGAGCCAGTTTTAAATGTTCTTGAAATGTTAAGAACCAAGAAACTGAATACTTCCATTCCCAAAGAAAATCTTGTGGTCGTTATTGGTGGGGCCACAAAGGAAATAATAATGATAGTGAAAAACACATTAATGTTTATGTAATCATTATATTATAGACATGAATTCATTATTTTCATGATAAGGAGGGATCAGCCTTAGAGTGTATTTATGTATTTAAGGGAAGAGAGAGAAAAAGGTATAAGAAACAAAACAAAAAGCCAAAAGCAGAAATGTGTTAGTTACATCATCACCTTGTTGGGGAAGCCTAGGCCTATGATTTGAAAGGAAGTACTTCTACACGTGATTATCTCTTTGAACACTCACCATCCACTCTCTGATTTCCTATGGCCCACAGTGGAGGCCAGACTCATGTTAAAGTAAAGGAACAGATTCTTCTCTGTGAGGGCTTTGCTTTCCTTTATGGGATTCATGCACAGTGCCTTTGGTTTTTCCACCCTGATAGAGGGCCTCTCTAATGCAGTTTTGTATAGTTGACTCTTGAACAACACGGGGGTCAGGGGTGCCAACTCCCCACACAGTAAAAGATGTGTGTATAACTTTCGACTCCCCCAGAACTTAACTACTGCTAGCCTACTGTTGACCGGTTTACATTACCAGTAATGTAAACAGTTGATTTACAAATATTTTGTATTTTGTATGTGTTATATACTGTATTCTTACAATAAAGTAAGCTACAGAAAAGAAAATGTTATTTAAAAAATCATAAGGAAGAGAAAATCCATGCACAGGGCTCTATTGTATTTATCGAAAAAAAATCCTCATATAAGTGGACCCATACTGTTCAAACCTGTATTGCTCAAGGGTCAACTGTACTCAGTAGGACCTGCTTTCTTGAATACTAATAAAAAGAACCGATTTCTTTTCTAGGGACAGAACACTTACCAAAATATTCATTCTTCTTCTCCCAGTCTGGGGTCTTACAAACCTAGAGGAAAATATGGCTCTTTTTGTATCCATACAACATTGCTGCCTTGACTTTTACTATTAGTTTGTTCATTAAAGATGTCTAGATGCTCTTTATTTTAACCTCATTTGGTGACACTTTATAAAAATAATATTTGTTAATAATTACTGAATGCTTATTATGAATTAAGAACCAAGTTTTTTGCATGCATTAATGCATTTAATCCTCACAACAACTTTATGAGGTAGGTCTATTATTAATCCCATTTTTACAGATGAGGAAACTGAGGCACAGAGGAGTTAACCCCAAGAGCATAAATAGCAAGATCATAAATAGCATTTATTTTATTTATTTTTAATTTTTTTAATGTTTATATATTTTTGAGAGACAGAGACATGGCATGAGTGGGGGAGGGGCAGAGAGAGAGAGGGAGACACAGAATCCAAAGAAGGCTCCAGGCTCCGAGCTGTCAGCACAGAGCAGGATGCAGGGCTCGAACTCACAAGCCGTGAGATCATGACCTGAGCTGAAGTCGGACGCTCAACCGACTGAGCCACCCAGGCTCCCCAGTTAATAAAAAGAATATGAAGAAAGTTTATGCTTCTTGGAAGTAAAATTTATATCAGTCATACCCCTCTCAGAAAATTTTGGTTCTTTAGTCTCATGGGAAAATTTTGTTTAAATCTCTTACAGAATTTTATATACAATTTGCTTTAGAAAAGTAAATGCAAGAAAACATGATATGCACTTAACATTTATAAATATTAGATAAATTGCATGGTATTTTGGATGACTGAAACATAAACAAATTTATCAAAAAAGGCTCTATTGCCAATAAATTAGATAACCTAGATGAAATGGACAAATTCTTAGAAACACACAAATTAACAAAACTGACTCAAGAAAGAATAAAAAAATCTGAACAGACCTATAACAAGTAAAGAGATTGAATCAATAATCAAAAACTTCCAACAAAGAAAGTACAGCAGCAGGGGAGTTCACTGGTGAATTCTACCAAACATTTTTTTTTCTACCAAATATGTAAAGAGAAGTTAATGCTAATTCTTCTTAACTCTTCCAAAAAAAAATAATAATTAAATTAAATTAAATTAAATTAAAAGGGGAGGAACACTTCCTTAATTATTCAGTAAGACCAGCTTTATCTTGATACCAAAGACAGATCGTACACCATGACAGACTAGTAATTATTGCAGGAATACAGGGATGTTTCAACATATGAAAATCAAGCAATGTAATATATCACATTAATAGCATGAAGGAAGCAACAGCTAGAAGAAACTGGGACAATGACATGAAAGTAATGGTCTTATTAAAAAAAAATAGAATGAAGGGGGAAGCATGATCATCTCAATTGATAAGAAAGGCATTTGACAAAATCCAACACTCTTTCCCAATAAAACACTCAGCAAACTAGGAAGAGAATGGAATTTCCTCAACCTCCTAAAATGCATTCATGAAAAACAAATAGTTAACAACATACTAAATGGTGAAAGATTGAAAACTATCTCAAGATCAAGAAAATGCCCACTCTTATCACTGCTAGTCATCATTGCACCAGAAGTTCTAACATGAGCAATTAGGCAATAAAAAGAAATAAAAGGAATCCCAATTAGGAAGAAGTAAGCCTATCTCTATTTGCAGCTTACATGATCCTATATATTAAAAATTCCAAAGAATCCACACACACACAAAACTATATAGAGTTAATAAACAAATTCAGTAATGTTGCAGGATACGAGATCAACACACAAATGTCATTTGATATCTATACATTGGCCAAAAAAAAATATCCAAAAAGGAAATTTTAAAAAATAATTCCATTTACAGTAGCATCACAAAGAATAAAATACTTGGTAATAAATTTAACCAAGGAAGTGCAAAGCTTGCACACTGAGAAGTACAAAACATTGCTGCAATAAAGATTTATTTAAGTGGAAAGACATCCCCTGTTCATGGTTTGGAATACTTAATAAAGTTAAGATGGCAGTACTCTATAAAGTAGAGTACAGATTCCATGCAATCCTTATCAAAAACCCAATGACCCTTTTTTGCAGAAATGGAAAAGCTAATCCTAAAATTCATATGGAATTGCAACCCAAAGGAGCCAAAACAATCTTTAAAAAGAATAAAGATAAAGGACTCACATATCCTGATTTCAAAATGTATTAAAAGCTACAGTACTCAAAACAGTGTGTACTGCTATAAGGATAAATATATAGACCAGTAGCATGAAATAGAAAGTCCAGAAATAAACTATCATCAATACACTTATGGTCAACTGATTTTCAAGGAGAGTGCCAAGACTATTCAATGAAGAAGGAATAATCTCTTCAAATGGTGCTGGAACAACAATATTCATGTGCAAAAGAATGAAGCTGGACATAAGAGTTAAAACCATAAAACTGAGAAGAAAACATAGGCATAAATCTTCATGACCTTGGATTTGGCAATAGTTTCATATATATGGCACCAAAAGCACAAGGTAACAAAAGATAAATTGGACTTCACTAAAATTAAAAAGTTTCTATGCATCACAGGACACTATTAGGAAAGTGAAGACAACCCACAGAAAGTGAGAAAATATTTGCAAATCATGTCTATCAAGAAAATATAAAGAACCCCTACACTCAACAACAAAAAGACAAACAACCCATTTAAAAATGGGCAAAGGATTTGAATAGACATT